GCCCTCTATTTGACCTTGGTATCTAAAGACTTTGCAAACATGCAAGAAGTGTATCGCCAATGAGGGTGAGATGTGCCAAAACGTGACGTCATGTATGCAGAAAAAAAGGCCTAAATACCATGTGACCACAAAAATGAGTAGTGATTGAGAAAAGCTTTATGCGTATGCAAGACACAAGCCTCGCCTAGCCAAGCCTAATTTCAATCATCCTCTATTCATAATAATGATACTAATAATAATAATATGGGAAGAGAAATAAATGAAACGACGGCGGTAGTGTGATATTGTATTTATTCCAATTTTTGGTTTGAAGCATTAGATATAAGATTCCAATTAAATAATAAATGAACATTTTCTAAAGCACAATGCATATTATTATACAAATGTTTATAACAATGTTTGTACTGGAATATCTTCTTCAGCTTGCGAAGATTTGGGCATCCTATTTCATGTAGATCGGTGATGTGATTAGTGATGAGTCTTTCCAACCATTGTTGTTTTGAGCGTCCCTTGACAAAAATTGGTTCATCGTGGACATTTTCTTTAATGAACGATGTCAATTGTTCATAATGAAGACATGATTCTTCAGAAGGAGATAGATCCCAAGGAATTCCATGTAGGTAAATTGTTTACAGTCCAGTTGATATGTGACTGTGTGCTACTGTTGAGCATTGTAAATTCTACAGGTAGATTAACTAATTTTTGTTGCCAGTATCCCGTTGCAGTATCCATGATAGCAGTTTCTTTGCAAATGAAGTTGGATCCACAAGTAAAGTCTTGAACGTCGATAATGATCTTTTTTTTGTCCGTTGAATGTCGAATGCAAACGCTGCACAAGAAGACTGTATATGAACTGAGATTATTTGTTAGGTAATATTCTTTTTATGTATCCAGCTGTCATGTTTCTTATCGAATCAAAACCATCTGACTTTGATATGGTCTCCTTTTTTTTCCAATATTTTTTTCTACAAGATAAGCATCAGGATGTTTTACCTTTTGCAGTTGTTCTGTATAAAAGCCTCCTAAAATATGTAGATTTTTTTCAACTTCCAACAAATATGTAATTGAATTAGTTAATGTTACTTGTCGTACTGTGAAAATTTCAGGTGACCAATTTGGCTGATATTTCTTGTCAAAAACACCTCTTATTGTAGAAATGCGTACATGATCACCTACTTTGAACTTTGTTTTCAAGTTTACAATTTTCAAGCGATTATATACAGTAGATAACAGTCTTCTTTCATCCTTCTTTGTGACATCAGCTGGTTTCATTTGAATAGTTCTATGCTTCTTATTGTTATATTGTTCTACCAGTTTTGGTAAAATGCTTATCCATTTATAATTTCCCTGCAGACTGAACTCTTTCCACATCATATTTTTTAAAGTTCGATTTACTCTTTCGACAATGGCTGCCTTCTTTTCACTAAATGTATTGTAGTGATTGATATTATATTTCTTCATTAGGTTTTTAAAATCATTATTGAAAAATTCCAATCCAACGTCTGTTTGTAGATTCTTAGGAGTTTCTGGTTTTAGTACACTTTCCATAGCTTTTGTTACCACTTTACCTGTTTTATTTTGTAAAGGTAAAGCCCAAACAAATTTCGAAAAACAATTTATCACAACCATATATATTTAATGCTTTTATTTTCCCTTGAGTATGGTATCATTTCTACAAGATCTGCTTGGAAAAGGTCGTCTAGAGATTTCACAATGGTTTTTCTTCTTTGGAAATTTCTGCGTGCAGGTTTATGTAGTTCTTCAACAACTTGGCGTTTTATGTTCGTTTTACGTGTTTTAACCATTATTCAATATATTTACTCTCCCTTAATTCCTCAACTATCGAATTAATCTCATTAACATGACCCGAGTGACCGGCAGTCCGTGATGAAATCAATAAGCGTAGACGACTTACAAGTTCATTAGGATCATCCCAGTATATATAATCCTTATCATTGCTAGAATATTCTATTGTCGTGGCAATATTTTTATTGTTCATTATTCCATACCCCATTCTTAAAGGAGGTGCTATGATTTTTTTATATTTTTGTAGTTTACTCCCATCCAATTGAGTATTAGATCTGTAGTACATTCTGTGGGCATTAGTTTTATATACAATTTGCCTGTAGGTATTGACATCGTCAGAACTGCAGAAATTCATGTTGGGATATTTTCTAAATAACAATTCGTATAATCCTTGACTACCCTTGTACCGTTTACCTTTCATATATATATATATATATATATATATATATATATATATATATATATATATATATATATATATATATATATATATATATATATATATATATATATCAGCACCTATAAAGTCTAGTTTAGAATCACCAATCATAAATTGTTCGATAGTGTCATCCAGCCTGACGCCATACTTATGATCAAATTCTCGATTATTTTTGTCTGCATACATTTCACTAATGTATTTTCTAGATAACGGGTCCTCATATTGTGCTAAGTATTCAGTAAATGACTTTTCTGCAATATCATCAAATCTGTTTCTATTAGCAACAGCCTCAGCATTATCATTACCCGATCCAGTCGAATCATTGTCTTCATAATCAGAATTTATACCGTCTATGTTTGATTTTTTTATGCTGCTTGGTGGATGATCGTCATCATAATCAGAGTTTTTCTCACTGTTAGCGATTGTCCTTGTTCTTGGTGTCACTGATTGAAATGATACTAGTTTTCTTTTACGTATTTCAGACAGAGTTTTTTTAGTTTCCCATGCTACCCCTTCATTAGATGCGAATATTTTCGTTTCAGGCCTTATATTAGCTTCAGCTACTGTATAGTAACGTGGTGGTGTTGGTGGTGGTGGTGGTGTTGAGGAACCAGGTACCGTGTTGGTATTATTTTGAAGTTTAGATTTGATACTTCTCAAATGTTTTGTAATGGGATTGTTCAAGGCTTCCTGTAACATTTCTCCATGTTTCAGTTGATACAATTTTCTTCCTGATACCGTCCTGACATTGGGTATCATGTAATTCTGGGATCATACGATTTTGTTTGATCAAAACATCTATCTTGCATTTCTATGCAGTTGATATGGATGATTGTTTTCCCTCAAATATCTGTATCAATTGCTAGTGTGTATAGGCAGCCAATATCAGTTTCAAGTGAAAACTCATAGAACTAGACTAACAATGGCAACAACACCAAAAACCATAATTGTGTTCAAGGAAGATCCAGTAAATTTACCGATAAATGACCACTTGTTGGTCAGAAAGGAATTATTTCAGTAAGTAACATTATATTATTTATCTTCTGTTCTCTCTCTCTCCCCACTGTTTTGCTATTGCTATTGTGTAATTATTATTGTTGTCCTTCCGCACATTATGGTAATGTTGTGGATGGATCATGTTTGAAGACACTCTAAAGCACCCCAAAAAAAAACAATCACCTGGTCTGCCAGTAGATATCAAGTTCTATTCATATCCTCAGAGCTAAATTATGTTGTCACAAAAGTATTATTGCGAGAAAAATGAGTTTACAGGGTTTTTTTGTATGGTTTTACTTGGGATTTTTTCATTTATGCTTTCTAAAGCAAACTTTGGTTTTCTGCCACGTTTATTCTCTTTAACATTAGGTTTTGTTTTTCGTTCACGCTTTACTTTGAATGTTTCATGTTTTACTACAGAGTTTTTTTTTGGTTTCGTGTTTCTTGATTTCTCTCACTTCTCGTTCTTTTTTCTCACTAGATTTAATTTTCTCCTTATCTTTCGCAAGTATATTTTTTGAGCTTTTTGAGATTGTTCAGTTTGTAGGATCTGTACAGAGTCTTGAACCAGTTTTTGAGACCCCTGTAATTCTTTCGCTAATTTATGTAATTTCTTCAAATAATTGTTTGTATTACGTTTTTGGTGCATTTGAGAGGTTTCTTTTAAGCCCATTTCAAGTTTTACTTTAGCTTTCATAACACCTGCTACAGCTAATGCGGCGACCTTCTCGTTCCAAGACGAATCACTTGCACGAAACCTATTCATTGCTTGTTTTGCCAGCACCTTATCAGCCAAATGCCGATTACTCAGATCTTTTTCTTTTGAATAAAATATATCGTGTTGTTTAGAAGCTTGATCCAATCCGTTCACACCTGGATCATTTCTGGCTAACCTTTCAGCAAGTTTAGTGCCAGGACCACAGTATCTGTACGTTGGGATGTGTAATTCTACAGGTAAATTATTTATAGCTGTATTCAGTAAGCCTTCACCACCGTAGTACTTCATAGCACATGAGTGATAACTGAACTGATATATTTAATCGTTTGCATTACTAGTTATAATTATCTAGTTGGTTCATGCTGTTAATTAATACGCTGCTAGTCATGCCTTCATATATTTGCGTTTCATGCTGGAAAAATACTGAGTTCACCATACAAGTGACTCTTCAATACACAAACATACTACAAAGAAAAATGCAATACTGTTCTGTTTGTCAAACGTTTACAATTTGGCTGTTAAATGAAGAATAGTAATATTTATCACCATCCTCCTCCTCCTCCCCCTACCCTTTCGTATAATATAAAAAGGCAGTATTTTTATTTTAGCCATTCAGTTTTTTACCCTAACAACGTGTTACCAGAATGAACCAGTAGTAGTTGCTGATCAGATCTTCAACATCGAAGACGGAGTTTTCTACCTTTATGAGTTACATAATTATGGAAGAACAGAATTAAAGTCGTATCCAGCATTCTATTACTCAGGGAAAAAGATTCCCCTCGACACAGAAATTAAAGATCAATACAATCGAACAATTGGATATGTAATTGGACAAGATCTGAATTATTATCCAATCACAATGAAACGAAAAGGTACAGTTATGTACTGTGGAAAATACAATATAAGGCAGTTGCTTCGACAGGGATACATTATTTTCAATAAAAAAACATATTTTATCAACAGTTTCAAAAACACATTCCATCATTTCGCATCTTCAGATATAAGTTGTTTTATATACTATTATATATAAATTATTATCACACTAGGGCCGTCGTTTCATTTATTTCTCTTCCCATATTATTATTATTAGTATTATTATTAACACTAGAGGATGATTGAAATTAGGCTTGGCTAGGCGAGGCTTGTCTCTTGCATATGCATAAACCGTTTCTCAATCACTACACATTTTTGTGGTCACATGGTATTTAGGCCTTTTTTTCTGCATACATGACGTCACGTTTGGCACATCTCACCCTCTGGTCATTGGCGATACACTTCTTGCATGTCTGCAAAGTCTTCAGATACCCAAGGTCAAATAGAGGGCAAACTAACAGAACCTGATGGATGGGTTACCAAGTGAGTTAGAATCGATGTTGTCCTACTACTCAAACAATATGGCATTTGCTATCACAAACAAAATGTAACGCTAGTCTCACATAAATAAAACCTAATCTCCATCTGTTATTAACGAAAAATGGTATTTTAGTGGTTTCCTAAACTGTCATGTGCATTCTGACAAAGATGTTCCAAGGTTATCACAAACCAGGTGAAATTTGCTATCACGGGCAAAATGTGACGCTAACCTCGCATAAGGTGACTGTTCCTTATCTGGCGAGGAGGAAAAGATATACATTGGCGATTTTCTAACGTGACATGTTAATAATTACACACCTGTTCCATGGTTATTACAAACCACGTGGAATTTGCTATCACAAGCAAAATGTCTGCTAGTCTCGCATAGATGTACCTAATCTCTGTCGTTCATGAATGAAAAAAAATGGTACTTCAGCTTCTTCCTAACTTCTCATGTGCATCCTTACAATATTGTTCCATAGTTATCACAAACCAGGTGGAATTTGCTATCCCAAGCAAAAAGTACCGCTAGTCTCACATAGATGTACCCAACTTTTATCTGTTATAAATGAACGATGCTACATTGCTACATTGCTATCACAAAGCAGATGGAATCTGCTATCTCAAACAAAATGTAACGCTAGTCTCGCATAGAAATTACGGCACTGCTATGATGATGATCTAATATGTAGAGTTGCTTAGGTTTGCACTTTTCGATTCCTTTGTTCTAGCGTAGGTTATAAGTAAGAGATGCATGTAAACCAAGGTGACCAGTACTCATTCGTCTTCTGTTAAATAAAGTCGCTTTTTTAAAAAGTCGTTCGTTGTTTGCACATTCTTAATTGGCGCTGCGAACAGGATATCGGCGTACCGAATCGATAATCGGCGGTATTGATTCACGAGTATCGCTCAATCGAGACCGAAAAAGTGCAAAAAATCGTCCGGTGTGTTCGGGTACGATTTCAATCGTTTTGACGTCGATCACAAAGAACTTCGAAGGCTACACCGAGCAGGCACATCACCATCGAAGTACCAGGCCGAAATACTTGCTAAGTATTTTGGGAGCAGGCAACGACACTTGAGAAAACGACAGGAACTGACAGGAGCGAGGTGCTGGATCCACGGCAGGCAAGCTGTCAACCAGGAGGAGCTGTATTGGCCCAAGGAGGTATCTCAGATCTCTCCAAATGAAGCTGCTAGTGCCCAGTGTAGCGTAAGAAACAACATTTACAATTTTTGCTGTACTCAGTGATATTTCCATTTATTTCTCGAAACTTTTTCGCCCTCTATTGCTTTACATTTATATATATTCGTAAAAGTTATCTATAAGTAAACTTATTTAGTGACTTTAATTGCATATATTTAATGTCCGATTCTGAATTTGAATCTGTAGTCGAAAATACACCTGTTAGACAAGTTATTTTGACACCCTCACGTCTTAATTTTAATCAGTCAACCATGTCTCTTCAAGATTTACAAATTAAATTCAATGTAGCTAAGTATATGGTACCAGAATATCATGGAGGTCACAGAGATCTAATTTATTTTTTGGATAATTCAGAAAAGTTTATTGCAGAATTTGTTAATACACCTTTTGTTTCGTATGCTTTCCAATACGTTATTTCTCAGCTGAAAAGCGAAGTAAGAGATTTAGTGCATCTAACTAGTCCGAGAACCTGGCCAGATTTAAAATCATTATTATTATCCAAATATAAAGATCCTAGAAATGAAGAAACTCTTCTCACCGCCTTATATACGTCAGTTCAGAAACCTAACCAAAAATATGAAGACTTTTATCAAGAAATTAAATTTAAGGTACAGAGCCTGAAAGAATTTGCAAATTTAGAATACCATGATAATCCCGATCATATCGCTTTTAAATTGAGAGACTATGATAGACAGTCTTTGAGCTCCTTTATCTCTGGTTTGAATGAACCATATAGGTCTTATGTAAGACAGCAAAATCCTTCTACAATTGATTCTTGTGTTCAATATTGTCGTGATTATGATAATTTGCAAATGCAAGTTGATTACAAAAATTTCTTAAGAACGAGCCTATATAAACGACAACAGCCTCAGTCTCAGAATAAAGTACAAGCTTCAAATCAAAATTTCCAAAGGTCTAATTTTAATTTTTCTCAAAAGCCCAATCAGTTTAGAGCCCAAAATAGTCAAACTTGGCTAGAGCCACAACAAACCTTCCCTACAGGTCCCACGCAACTACCACCACCTAAACAAAATTTTAAACCTCATTACCCTACAAACATTCAAGCTTTTAGACCACCACAGAATGTTTTTTCCAAAAAACCCATTCCAGGTCAACAAAAAAGTAATCCTATACCTATGTCTGTATCTACAGCACGCACACCGAAACCCCAGCAAAACCCATATCGTCAACAAATGCCCACTAGAGTTAATGCCTTTCAAGTAGGTCCCAAACCAAACCATTATTATGTCGAAGAAATTACTCATCTTGAAAATGAGGAAGAACAAACTTTTGCAGGAACGCCACAATATGAATCTGAGGAATATACCCAAGATTTCGATTCAGACTATATCCCCGATGAATCTTATTTTGAAAACAATGACGAAGAAAATTTTCCTTCGACGAGCCAGTCTCAAAATTTGACTTAGATATAAATAATTATCAAAAAACCCACCTTCCGTATATTTTTTGTTCTCAGTTTAATCTTATCATCTTAATCGATACTGGTGCATCATCCTCCCTGATCAATCCAGAAATTGCTTTTAAATATTTTCCAGATCGTATTTATGATCATCCTTTTGAAATTAATTCATGTACGTCCAATTTTAGAGGTCAATATGCCTGTAAAATTCCCATATTTTCTGAATGGAAGAATAAAACTGAAATTGAATTTTTAATTCTTCCTTGGCATTCACGTTATGACTGCTTATTAGGATTCTATGATTTACAAAAGCTTAATTGCTCTATTGATTTGACTAAACATCAGATTATTACTGATAAATGTAAAATTACTTATAACACTTCTTTTAAGCCAATTCGAGAAAACAATCCAGTTCAGTATAGTTACCCGAAAAAATCATTAATTATCCGAAATTTGGATAATGGTTCTGTTGTTATTCCACCTTTGAAATTCAAAAATTCTGACGAATATTTTCCTGAATGTATCTGTAACGTAGAAAATAATGCTATTCAATATCCAATTGACATAAATCTTCTTGATGTTTCCAACCCATTTTTATCTGAACCTCTTGATGATTTTCTAATTGAAAAAGAATCTCCATTTTCTACTGAAAAATCCAATATACGTGTTGAAAATTTAATTCGTACGTCTCATATGAATATTGAAGAAAAAGAAAAGATTATTAAGCTCTGCAAGCAATTCAAACAGGTATTTTTCAAGCCTAACGAACCATTAACTCTCTGTAATGCCACTGCACACAAAATTAGGTTAAAAAATGAAGACCCAATTTATGTAAAAAATTATCGATATCCTTATCATCTCAAAAAGGAAATCCAAAATCAAGTTTCCAAGTTATTGAATGATGGAATCATTCGACAAAGCAATTCACCCTATCAATCACCCTGCTGGATAGTTCCTAAGAAAATGGATGCATCCGGTGTTAAAAAATATAGGATGGTTATTGATTTCAGAAAACTGAATGAAATAACAATTGAAGATAAATTTCCACTCCCACTAATTGAAGAAATTTTGGAAAATTTAGGCAAAAGCATGTATTTTTCTACTATTGATTTGGCACAAGGGTTCCACCAGATCCCTATGGATCCTGAGTCTATAGAAAAAACGGCTTTTACTGTTGAAAATGGCCACTATGAATATGTCCGTATGCCATTTGGGTTAAAAAATGCCCCTGCTACCTTTCAACGTATGATGAATACTGTATTGTTAGAATATATCAACGTTTTTTGTTTTGTCTATATGGATGATATCATTGTTTTATCAAAATCCCTAGACGAACACATTTTGCATCTTCGAAAAATATTCCAAAAACTGAATCAGTTTAATTTAAAAATCCAACTGGACAAATCTGAGTTCCTGAGAAAAGATGTTCCATTCTTAGGTCATGTCATCACGCCACAAGGCATACTTCCAAACCCAGATAAAATCAAAGTAATTCAAGAATATCCTCTCCCGACTACGATTAAAGAAATCCAGTCATTTTTAGGCCTTATGAACTATTATCGTAAATTTATTAAAGGATTTGCACAATTGACTAAGCCATTCACAAAATGTTTACGTAAAGATGAAAAAATCAATATCAATAATCCAGATTATATCAATGCATTTAAACTTTGTAAAGAAGCTCTTTGTAACCCACCTATTCTGGCTTATCCTGATTTTTCCAAAAAATTTACATTGACAACTGATTGTAGCAATATAGCCCTATCAGGAGTTCTTAGTCAAAATGATAAGCCTATTGCTTTCCACTCTCGAACATTAAATTCTGCTGAACGCAATTACAGCGTTATTGAAAAAGAACTATTGGCAATAGTTGATTCTTGTAAAAAATTCCGTCCTTATTTATTTGGTCAAAATTTTCTAATCGAATGTGATCACAAGCCCCTAGTTTGGTTGAGTTCTTTATCAGTGCCCAATCAGCGATTGATTAGATGGAAGCTTCAGTTAGAAGAATATAATTTTTCAATTAAATATAAAAAAGGCAAAGACAATGTTGTAGCCGATGCGCTCAGTAGAATTGAAATTAACGCTTTAGAGGATGACGATCTTTTATCCATTTTACCACAAGTAGATTCTGTAGAAGAGTTAACAACCCAAGAACTTGATGAAATCTTGAATGAAGATAATTTACCTTTAATTGATTTATTAGATGAAATGCCGTTAGATGAACGACTCAAAATTGTTGAGCAATCTGATGTTACTCGACATTCATCTGCACAAAATCCTATCAATCATATATTGTATCAAGAAAAGAATTTTTATTTTTTCAAAAATCGAATACATTTTCAGTTAAAAAATCAGTACAA